GGGTATATAGAAACACAATGAGTAAGAGGTTCAATGTTTGGGGGATGGACACGCTTGAATTTCTGACTCAAAGGGGGTGGGGGGGCAAGGGCAATATATGTAACCTTAACATTTGTACCCCCATAATATGCTAAAATAAAAAACAATAATATAAAAAAATTTTTTAAGAAATTTTAAAATAAATAAATAAAATAACAAATAAAAAGGAGCCAAATATGCAAAAATTGGGGTGCTATAAATTAGACTGTAAAATTGTCTGGTATAGACTTAACCAAGTTATTAAAACTTTCAGTTAAAACTTTCACGATTCTATAAGCCTTTTAACATGTAAAATGATATTTCTGCTCTATACAGCCGTCTTTCGCATTTGTAATAATACAGCACTTTTCTTGCCTACCTCAGAAAAGGCCTAGACTGTGACAGAGACTAGCAAACTCTGAGGCATGACGCTGTCATTATTGTTTCCCGTGAATTAAGATGTGGGAAATCACTGTTGTTTTTCTTTTTTCTTTTGCTTTTTTTACCATGAAATGATGTTTGTGCTCTTACTCTTTCTCTTTATGTTTGTATTCATTACATTTTAATTTATATATATTATTATAGCCAATGCAATGTTTAAGGGGTGATACATGAGCTATCATATTCGTTAAGTTAAAAAAAAAAAATAGAAGTTTAACTCATCTAAATGTTTCAAGTGATTTTTTTAAAAAAATAAAATTTTCCCTCCAAAAACTTTCCTATATTAACCACAAAGTAGAATATAAGTTTCTGGCTTACAGAAAATATACTACTTAATCTGTTAAAGTAACTTATGAAATCCATCCTTAATTTATGGAGATTTTATTATAGATTTTACATTTTAAAATTTTTCTCATATTTAAGAATCAGATTTCAGACTTGACAGTCACCTACTTCACAAAGTTATATTTGACTCCTGCCCATTGCCAGATGTCAGGCAGTTATAAAGAATGTAGAAAAGTGGGGTTATTTGCCAATATACCTTGGCTTATTTTTCAGAATGCTTCCATGGAATATGCTTAGTTTTGGCTAGTGTATTTATTCTACTACTACTTTAAATGCTATATTTTATTTTTAAAATAAAGACAAAACCTTAAAAAATGCCACATACAAATCACCAAAAAAATAAAAAAGCTCTCCTTAAAGCATAGTTTCCTAATTGAATAAGCTAAATGTATGGATTGTTCATAATTTAAGTTTAGAGGAAAACCTAGTTATCTGCAACTGATTAGGAATAGGTACATAACATATAGTAAATATTAGAAAATGCCCAGGAAAACACTTCCTCCTGGTAGCTAAAACGTAAAACAAAATAATTTTATTTTTAATTCAATATTTCTTTGAAAAACAATGTATTATTGTTTCCCCGGATTTCCTCTGTGAATACACTTGTAAAAACTATGCACTTAATTGATTAGTTTTACTCTTTACTAGATAATTCTCAGACCTAAGTCATATTAATAATATCTTCCCTATAAGCTTTCCAATGTCAGTGGACTATAAAAAGTCAGCACAAACATTTCTAAAGTAGCTATATATACTTGAGCAACCAAATTCCCCTCTGATGACAACAAAATGATCTTTCATCATTTGCACGGCCCTTGAAATGGGAGCCTCTCAACTGACTCCTGGAGCGTTGCCTCCCCGCTGGCCCTACAATCCGCCCTGCTCTTGGTTTTGTCCCTCCTAATCTCATGGAGCTCTGAGATCCCCTGCGACCTCCCTTGCCTTAGACTAGAAGTGCTCAGCTAGAGAACTTTTCCAAGATGCTTCCAGACCCAGCCTATCCTATGTGGGATGATTTGTGAGGACTAAAAAGTAATCACATTAACGACCAGATTTTATGGGCTCTTAGATCCCACCTTCATCATGAGACCTCAGCCAATTGCAAAGTTCTCCTCCTCCAGGTACCTCTGGAAGTCCACTTACATCAGCTCAGTCCTGGCTGATGGTTCCTATTGCTCCAGGTGTCATTGTATCCCTGCTGACATCACTATCACCAATGCTAACTAAAGGGTGACTCCAGAGTAAATCTCCCATCAGGTTCTTGGGAAGTAAGTGATGCCCATCTCAGGGACTCTGTAACACTCCCTGGCCCAACACACACATCCACAACCACTTGCATGCACACACACACACACACACACACACACACACACACACACACACACACACACAGTTATACACGATGTTTTTGCAAAGTGGGAAGGTAAATTCTTCATCCCTCTGTATTCTACTCTGTCTGGAGGGGAAAAAGGGTCACATAGAAGGTGTGCTTGGAAACTCAAATCTCATAAAGTGTACTAAGAGTGTCCTTTCACTATGCACATAGGTTTTTTTTCCTTGTTTCTTTTTTTTTTACTCCAAGATGCAAATAAACTGTCAGGCTCTCTAGATCCCAATTGTTTTCAAACAGCAATCTCCACACCAGACAATTCCCAGCTCAGTCTCCTGGGCAACTTCTGAGTAAAGGGCCACATCTCTTTTTGCAATCTAGATTCTTTTGTCACCCCACATCCACCCACGACAAGGCCCTTTAATGTCAGGATGAGAAGCAATCACCCCAGTCACCACATATATCAGCAGTTACAGGCAAGTAGTTTAAGAGAAGTGGCCTGTCAACAACACGAGTCCCAGCTGGGACCCCTCCACCCCACATCTCCATTTAAACACCTTGCCTTTTATAATTATCAGTTCACTATTGCAAAGGCAACAAAAAGTAAGCGTAGGTGGTGGTCTCAACAAATATATAAAATGACTCACAAGGAAAGGAAAACATTAACTGCCAGGCATTTGGACACCTCTCATTAATCCCCACAGCAACCGTAGGAGGTTCAAATTATCTGTCCCTATTTTACACAGAGGCTTAAATTCATATAAATATCAGAATCAAGGATGAAAGCCACGAGCTCTAACACCAAATCTGAAGTTTCTTCCTGCACATGATGCTGCCCTGCATGTTCAGGGAACTTCCCCACACAGTGAGCATGAAAACATCACAGGCATCACCCTAGGAATGGGCCTTCGAATCTTTGCTCTCTGCAGTGCCTCCTGCCATTTAACCAGATGCTTTGTGCTAGTTTCTGTAGGGATGACTCTTCGCCTGCTCCACACTATGCAATGACATAGCATCTGTTTTCCCCTGAATTACGGATGAGGAAATCGAGGTCAGGGAAGTTAAGTGACTTCCCTGTGACCCAACATCCTATGAGTGGAAGAGCCAGGGCTCACACAGAGATCTGATCCCTAAGCTCAGCTCCCTTCCCCCACTCCAGTCTGTCATGCAAACTGAAACACATACAATGGCACTACACGGTACAAGAAAAGTAAATGGAAATGTTGACCTGTTAACGTATCAGTATATACATCTGAAAAACAATTGTTTCGAAAATGGAGTTATATGCCTAGGCAAGGCCATGCATCCTTTTTTATACCTCAGTGTCCTGTCAGTTGCCTATTGCTGCCATACAAAATTACCACAAATTTGGTAAAACGAATTTGTTAAAACAACAGAAATTTATAATCTCACAGTTCTGGTGGCCAGAGGTCTGAAATCAAGATGTTGTCAGGATTGGTTCCTTCTCGAGGCTCCAGGGGACAATCCATCCTGTGCTTCTCTCCTGGCTCCTGGTGACTGTGGCCGTCCTTGGAGGTCCTTTGCTTGCAAGCACATTACTCCAATCTCTGCTTCAGTCGTCAGATGGCCTTCCCTTCCATGTGTGTCTGTGTCTCAAATCTCTCTCCTTTCTCTTAAAGGAACACTGGACATTGGATTGAGGATCCACCCTAAATTCAGGATGATCTCATCTGGAGATCCTCAACTTAATTATACCTGCAAAGACCCTCTTTCCAAATCAGGTCAGATTCACAGGTCCTGGGGGCTAGGACTTGCACATATTTTTGGAGAACACAATTCAACCCACTACTGGAGCCATCTAGGTGACTATGTTAGGAAAGGCTGCACTTGTTAATTCGGGTCACTTATTTGAAAAAGCTCAAAATAGACATAACCTTAATGTGCCCAGGATATTCAGATCTAAGTGGCACAAAGGAAGAAATTAGATGCTATTATGGAATTTCCACACTCCAAATTTAACCCAACTAACCTATTCCTCTCAGTTCTGAGGTTGGAAATAATATTTCCACCCTTGACCTGTTGTTACAAAAGATACCACTGAGAATAGTATTTTTTACCTGGTGAAATATTTTCCTCTTTAGCATGAATCTGCTTACATTTCACACACAAAAATCTCTCTCTCACTCTCTCTCTCTCTCTCTCTCTCTCTCTGTCTCTCTCTCTCTCTCTCTCTCTCTCTCTCTCTCCCTCACACACACACACACACACACACACACACACACATACACACACACCTGGAGCTCGAAGTGAAATTCTTGTGTGTTTATTTGAGATAGATAAGGCGACTACATAAAAGAAACACTTCTCCTCTCTTTGTTGGATCAGAGCACATAATGCTACGTTACACAGAATCAGAACCTAAAGATACAGATCAGAATAGGTGTCTCTGAAGTCAAGGCAATCCAAGGCTCAGACTCTCTTGTGTGGCACAAGGCACAACAGCAAGAATGCCTACATTGATTTCCTTAAATGGTGACTTCAGAAATACTAGAATATTCACATAATAATACAGCATTTGTGCTAATAAGTCCAAGAAGTTTCTTAATTATATCCAAGTAAGTTTATGCTGCTTTCAGGTTTTATTAAGTTACTTCATAATATGCTAGAAATAAGCACTCCAGTACAAAATAAAACCAGATAAAGTGAAACTACATTGGACAAGGACCAGGATAGATATTGATAAGGAATATAATTCTGTCTGGTAAAATGTGTATGAAATATAAGAAAAAAGCTCAATGACTCATAAATCGTGTGGTCTAGGGAGGGTGCACCAGTAAGCAGAATTAGTAGACAATGTGTAGGACAGAGGTTTCAACTATCATTTTTAAAAGAGAGTTTATCTTACGTGTCTTGATATATTCTTAATGCTGATCTGTTCGAATGGAGAACTTCCGAGCAGAATGATGTCCTTCTGAGCACATCTTTCAAACTCCTCACGGTAAGCAGGAGTGGCTTCATCTGCCTCTTTGTGGATCTCATGACTCTTATGGAAACTCGTAGGTGCTTCAGAATCCAACGTCTCCTCCTGGACGCCCTCATCTGCTTACCCCAAAAAGATCACAGGGAATTCTGCTTGCCTTTGTCACTTTACTGTTGGCTGAACACATAGTAGCCTAACTACTTTTATTCTTATATGCGATAAAGTTTAGTTTTTCATATTCTACAATTTAGCAAATCATTTTCTGTTTCCTGTACTGGGAAATCACTAAAGCACAGAAGAAATTTCAAGATTAAACAACAACAACCACCTTTGTTCAGCTCATAATCTTTACAAAGTGAGCAAAGTACAGCTGTGCATTAAAGCTTTTTTCCCACTTACCAAATATATCTTGAAGTGTGGATGCTGTGCTTTTCCGCGCGTTAATATTACATGTTGTTTACTTCAACAACTTACCACTTACTCGCCTTGTTGCAGAATCCAGCTTGGGAGATGAATGGGTTTAGGGGAAGCCAGAGCTCCTGGATCATTTTCCCCCATTAGGATCCCTGAGAACAGTCCCGAGCTCTGCACACAGAGGCACTTTATTTGGGCTACCTTGTTTATTTGCATAGAAATGCCAGCATTTATACAAATGGTATGTGTACTCAACTTCTCTCTCCATCATCTGAAAACAGTATCATCTACAAAATGTATCTTTTCATCTAGCCAGATGTGTGCTGTAAATATAAAATATTCCTCTCTCTTCCATTCTCTAAAAAATGCTGGAAGGTATAATATGGAATTTTCCATGTCTCCAATACTAGAATTTTAACAAGAATCATTGGAAGAGAGCTTCTTTTGCAGGTGGGAAATGAAGTGGGGTACTGGAGAGAGCGCCCAGCTATAGCGGCAGAGAACCTCTGGCCTTCTCTGCTCGCTAGTATCCTGTATTACTTTGTGTAAGTCTTTACACTTTCTAGGTGTCAGTTATATCCTCATGCACGAAACAGCTGATAAAGTACCTGACTAGTCTGTACATTCTATGAGGCTCTCATAAGCCTGCAAATGATTTTGGAAGCTCTATTAGGGACTATCTGTAAATGTGTGATTTGGGTGGGTTCAAAGGGTCCGAGCTGAAAGAGCTGTCAGAACGGAAGGTAAATAACAGGGATAAAAGTGTGCTCCTCAATATCTAGCACTGAAGGTCTGAAAGGTCTTCGATACGTTTGCTGGTTCAAAAATTAGATTAAACATATAAATTCCTAACTTAAGCATTTGTGTTGCTTAATTTTAAGTGCCAACTTGACTAGGCTGGGGTGCCCCGTTGTTTGCTCAAACACCAATCTGCATGCATCTGTGAAGGTATGTTTTAGATGTGATTAATATTAAAATCAGTAGACTTTGAGTAAAGCAGATTAGTCTTCACAATGTGTGTGGGCCTTTTCCAATCTGCTGAAGGCCTGAAGAATAAGGACTGAGATTTCCCAAAGAAGAAAGAGTTCTGCCTCAAGATCAGATCATAGAAAACCTATTGAGTTTCCAGCCTGCTTCCCTATGACATTCAAACTCAAGACTGCTATTTCTACTCCTGCCTGAATTCACATCAACTCCTACCTGATTCTCCAGCCTGCCAGCCTTCCCTAAGGATTCTGGACTTGCTAGCCCCCACTACTGAGTGAGTCAATTTCTTAAAATAAATTTCTATGTATGTATATATTGGTTCAATTAAATTCTACTTTTCTGGATAATCCTAATACACCATTTGAATTCAGGATCCCTCAAAATAAGTTCATAGCTGGCTTGAAAAATGGCTTTACTTTGTTTATAAAGGCCAAAAATTAATAAAATGTTGGCTATCCTAACTAATAGCAAAACAGTAAAGGGGAGGAGGTGTACCCTGGGTGGGAATAAAACTTGGTAGTGTATTATTCTGTAAATGGGGATCAAAAATGGAGAATAACCTTTAGTTTGTTATGGGGTTTAAGTAAGTTAATATTTGTCTTATTTAGAACAGTGTTTAGGATAGTTGAGACATTTCCTTACCAGGTACCTAGTAAGCACTCAAATGTTTAACTGGTATTAATATTTTTATCAATAGCATTATGGTTATTAACTTTATTATTCTAGATATGTCCTTATCATATCTGCTCATGTAATAATTTAATCTTTATAACTACTCCATGTGGCAGGTGCTATATGTCCATTTGGCAGAAATGGCAAACGAAGCTTAAGGTCACAGAGCTAGTAAATGACAAAGCCTCAGCACAAATTCAACAGAAATAATAATGATTAGAAGGCTTAATCATGATCAGCCCTGTCCTCTTATGTACTTTAAGGAGCTGTTTTAATAACGAAGACAGAATGACACTTTGAAAAGCACTAAGCTCACACTGTGAAAAAAATGTAATAGAATTATTCCCCATGAATTCAAATATGTGTACATACAACAATTCAGTGTTTTGGCAAAAACTACAATTTGGTTCTGAAATGAATTTATATGTGTTAAATTAAGAATTTAGTTTTTAAGAGATTACCTTTAATCTCTTAGTTTAATACATATAAATTTTTTTTATTCAAAGAGCCTAACAGTTGCAAGTAAATTCCCACGCTAAAGCTGAGTACAATATACTGCTTGTCTTCTATCACACAAAAGCATTTATTTAAAAGCTAAGGCATGGTCTTTTTATTTTTTTTAAAAAAGCAAGTAGCCTCATAAATTAGTGAATCTAAATATGCCATTTTAAGATTCTGCAATAAATCTTAAATCATTTTTACCATTAATTTTATATATTGTATGCAATTATAAGAAATTACGCCATAATTACTTTTCCCCAAAACTTTAGTTACATTTAAATATCTGCAACCATCAAATCAGGTTAGCATATGCAAGAAACCATGTCAATCAATTCACAACTAATGTTAAGATAAAAAATTGAAAATAATTAGTATCTTACCTTGGGGTTCTTCTTGTCCACTCTCATCAAACAGCTTCATTAATCGATTATAGAGAATTCTATCATCACCTTCTAGGGTTTTAAAAGAATATATGCATGATAACTTTCTCATCAACTAATTTATAGATATGAAAATGTAATTACAAAAAGAAATTATTATATTAATCATCATGGTTATTTAGTTATATTATGGGTCATAGATACAAATTCTACTCAATATGCTGCTTTGTTCTGAAAAAAAAAAGCCCTTTTCTAAATCATTGATAATTGTAACAATTATTTTTAAATGTATATTGCAGTACATGCATAATATGATACTTCAACAAAAAGGATCTCATATTCAATGGATTATGATGTCTATTACTCAAGAATAATTTCAGAACAAGTAATTATGGTTTGTCAAATCATACAATGGAACATATAAGCATTTGGTCAAAATGAATGAGTGTCTTCGATTAGCTACTTTCTATATATCATATTTTTACTATGTATATATAAGAAACAACAAACTTAAATGGTCCTGGATTCTTTTATACATGCTATGATAACTTTCTCATCAACTAATTTATAGATATGAAAATGTAATTACAAAAAGAAATTATTATATTAATATAATATGATAGTAAATATGATAGTAAACATAATATGATAATATGATAGTAAACATAAGAATGTCTTAGTTCTTCTGTGAATTTAAAGCAACAAGGCCGTGTCATTACACACACACACCCAAAAAACTAATCCTAAAGACCAAGTTCCAGAAGAAGGTTAAAAGTTCATCCAGGTGGATCTCTTGCCACTAGAAAAAACCAAACATGAATGATGCAAGTTGGATGACCACCCAAGTCATTAGAACATACATGCACACATCAATAGATTAAACATATTCCCCTTCCCATGGAAGGCAATCAAAATAATTGTTTAAACTAAGACCTTTCTGACGTTTTCATTCTTTAAGTTAAAAGTCCTGAAAATTCTTGGTCTTCCCCTTCTGTCCATACCTGAGATCCCTTGAACACCAGTGTTGGAAAAAATCCAATGCCATCTATATTCATGGACTTGAAATGACTAAACAGGAAAGCCTACACTGTGGGGGGAAATGGAATATTTGAGAGAATGACAGAAAAGGGTCTGTGAAATTAGGATTGTCCACTCATTGCACCCTGAATATGACTTTTTCAAATATCAGTTGACTTGCAAATGTTCTCTTCCTGCTAAGGGCCAGCACAAACCTACTACTATGCCAACACTCAGGGAAAGGGGAGAGGGGCCATTCCCAAAAGATGTTTTGCAAGATTATGCATTAAGGAAGCATGGACCTTTATTCCAGCATTGACTGTAACTGTATAACTCTTAGTGGGATAGCTACAAAACTTATAAAGCTTATACATGGCTCATAAAATAATCTTATTGAGAAGCTAACAATAAGCAATACCAGACCCATAGATGTGGGGTTCTCTGCAGATATAATAAAAGCCCCAGTGGGATTAAATATAGACAGACCATCTTCTGGAGAGAGGCAGCATGGCACAGGCTTGGCATTAGGCAAATCTGCACCCAAATATCAGGTGGTTAGCTATCTAAACTGGAGAAATTTCTTAGAGTCCTTGAGCTTGAATCTCCATGGCCAGAAAACTGGATGATTTGAGGGTCAGCAAGATGACACTCATAAAGCACATACCTGCATGGCTGATGAAGAACAGGCACTCAGGAAAGAGTAGCCACTCACGTGTGCTTGAATGGTGTTTTGTTGTTATTGTATTTCTTTCCTTTTTTTTTTTTTTTTTGTGAGACAACATCTTGCACTGTCACCTGGGGTAGAGTGCAGTGGCACAATCAGCTCACTACAGCCTCAGCTCTTGTGCTCAATCCTCCTGCCTCAGCCTCCTGAGCAGTAGGTACTAGAGGTATGAACCACCACACTCAGCTAATTGTTTTTAATTTTTTGGTAGAGACGGGGTCTTACTATGTTGCCCAGGCTGGTCTCAAACTCCTGAGCTCAGGCAGTCCTCTCATTTCAGCCTCGCAAAGTGCTGAGATCTCAGGCATGAGCCAGCATGCCTGGTCTATTTGTTTGTTTGTTGTTAATTATCTAGTAATTGTATGAAGTGCCTAATTTTTCAACAGTTAGAGTTCTGTCATTCTGATCTAATATTTTTGTTTTC